TAAAATGATCTAGGAAGACATGACATTCAGACCATATGTTAAACTTATTGGGAAAATAAACATCAATCATTATGAAACAAACATTGCGGACAAAAACCTTTTTGAACACGTCAGTCCTTCCAATTTCAATCTGGTTCAGGAATCACATGCAACCCTCCATCGAACAGTTTTGAACGCTTGTTTATCCTGCAAACATTCTTGAAGCAGTCTCACCAATTGCTCTCACATTTGGACCTAATTTGTTTTGCTGTTGTGCCGGTTTGCTGGATAAAAGCATTTTCTGTGCCGTGACACAGTGTATCTCGAAAACATTGTAACTGGGGGCATGTGATGAGTGTGCAGCATTTCATGAGATCCCTGGTTGTGGGCATTAATCAGAGTTCAGTTAATTCGATTAGAGCATAACAGCGTTACTGATAAAATAATGTACCAAAAACATAGCCTGTGATTAAGATTTAAATCATAAAACACTCCTGTTGACATCATCCAAATTATCACTCACAATCCTAAATTGATGTCCTGCTCAAATTATTTTGAAGAAAACAGAGGCCAATCAAAATATCTGAACCTAAAACGGCGAGTGCAATCTTTCCACCTGTAACTCGCAATAGAAAAATTATTTCTCTTAAAATCACTCAAGATTCTTTTGCCATTAGTGTTTACCAGGTGGTCTTCTGTCACAATAATGCATTTAAGATAAGATAAGATAAGAAAACCTTTATTAGTCTCGCAATGGAGAAATTCCCAATTCACAGCAGCAAAGTTATGAATGGAAGAAGTAGAACAACAAAATATAGGAGCTGCTGGAAAGGCAGCCACTCACGCGGCGCCATCTTGAAGTCAAAATAACAAAAATAACACAACACAACACATAGGACACAGATAGTCGTGCAATCGTCACCACTTTCCTGCATACACTTTGTTGTCTGAAGCAGTTATAGATGAAAGAGGAGAGGATCAAAGTGTCCTTTTACCAGTGGATCAGAGACGTCATGCTGAAAATGTGCACGTCTGCTACAAGCTAAGTTTTGAAAGCAAACACGAAGCTGTAGCGTCCATTGACAAAAAGAGATTAGTTCACTACTCCTGTTTCACCAAGTAATACTGCTGTTTCATTTTTCCCTTCGGGTTTAGATCAGGGCAATGTTTTGAGCTAAGCTATCCGTGGGTTTTGTGCCGTTTACACTTTCCATTTTATGTGTACCAATGCAGGACTCTGTCGGGGTATTTAATTTCTTTTTTTCATTTATGATTTTTTTTTTCTTTGCAATGAACTTCATAACTTGAATAACTTGGTAAGTCTCCACTCTTGGAACAGTGTAGCAAATTCCTTTGTTTTTGTTGTAGACTGTTTCATATTTTGATACGGCATCAAAGACTAACGTGAGAAAAGAGAGAGAAAACAACATCTTTTATTTCCTTTTATTTACATCTGGATATTGATCACAAATTGAGAGAGAGCACATTTTGTTTATGTCAACCTGTTGGAAGTTGGAACATGTGACTCTCGTACTTTTTTTTTCCCCTCTTCTCCAAGGTGTGCACTGTCACATTGATTATTAATATTGATATGTCGGCCTGGGCCCGAGCCATCCTTGTGTAACTCTGTCTTTGCGGCAAAGGGCCGCTCACGGCTCCTCTTGCTGATGGCCCTCCATGATGGGGCTTCTTTAGTCTCCTCTGTGCTCAGCCTTGCCTCGGGCAGCTGCGCTCTGTATTTAATAATCTTTTAAACTGCCCCTACTTTGGTGTTGCACAGAAATTCAATAATTGATCCCTGATCGGGTTCTGATCGGCTCCTCCCTATCACGCCCTTCCAAGTCTCACTGTCATTGCTCATTGAGCACTGAAGTCCCCCAGCAGAACGAGGGAGTCCCCGTGGGGAGTGTTGTCTGGAACCCCCTCCAAGGACTCCAGAAAGGGTGGGCGCATAATCACAAATAACATTCAGGACCCATCCCCCCACCAGAAGATGGAGGCAGTGCTACCCTCTCGCCCACTGGGGTGAACCCAAACGTACAGATAGATGCCTTTCTGGGGGGGCAGTAACTATGTCCACACCTGCTCCGCACCTCTCCAGAATGGAAGAGACTCCAACCCCTCCCAGGAGAATTGGTCCCAGAGCCCAAGCTTTGTGTGGCGACAAGCGCAACTATGTCTACTCGGAATTTCTCAACCTCACACACCAGCCCGAGCCCTTTCCTTGCCAGAGAGGCGACATTCCACATCCTCGGAACCAGCTTCTGTTGTTGGAGCGTCACGCCGCCTTTGGCTGCTGCCCAGCTCACATTGCTACATGTCACAGATAGCGAACCCATGGGAAGGGGGAACCACGTTACCCTTTCGGTCTGTGCTTGGGGGGGCCCCATGGGTGCATGGGTTGGCCACCGGGCGCTTGCCCCACCTCCACGCCTGGCTCCAAAAGGGGCACCGCTGACCCACGTCTGGGCAATGGAAAACTTGTGAGATTTGTAATTGTCACTGGGGTCTTTTGATCCATGCTTTTTCTGGTTCCTCACTCAGGACATGTTTGCCAGAGGTGCCAAGGGCATAAAGCCTCAGATTACTTTGCTCCTAGGAGCATTAGCACACACAAACCCCTTCAGCGCGATAAGATGGCAGCTCACGGAAGGGTTGACGTGACATAAATTGGAAATCAATTCTAATTCTTCAGAAACATGTTGAAAGTCGATTGAAACCAGGATGCCTCCAAACTGATTTAGATATCTTTCATCATGTAGTAAGATGACAGACACACACACACACACACACACACACACACACACACACACACACACACACTCTTCCAAAACAATAAAGCAATTCATCAGGGGAAAGAAATGCATTTTAGACCGACCTTGCTTAATGTCCTAAACAAGACTTGAACCTTATAAAACATTTTACCAATCGGAAGAGGTTGTGGTGGAAGCATCACAGAAAATATTCAAACTAAACATCAAGTCTCTCACAAGTCTGTTGTTCTGCTAGGTTTGCTCACCTAAAAATGTGGTATTAAGTGCAAATATTGCGATTAATTCAATTTCAGATGTGGATGCATATAGGAAATGTAAGTAGTTTGAATAAAAGCTGCATGTTAATTTATGTTGTCTAAACCAAGTCATTCCAGTCTACAGCAAAAGTAAAGGCATTAGCCTCAGTGTTCCAATACTTTGGTCGGGGAATGTGCCGGTCCATGGCTTTGTGAGGTACCTAGAAACGCATGCTTGTATCCGTGACATACATGATTAGCCTGACTTTATTTGTATAGTATTATGGATTTAGTGCATTTTTTCCCCATAATGTGTCTTGTGTGTGTCACCTGAGTAGGCTTCACTCGTAGCTGTCCACATGATTCAGATCTCATTCATTTGGCTAACATTCTGCTCCCAATGGCCCGAGTTTCACAGACGATTGACCTTGTCTGAATGTAATCGAGCAAAGGGCAACCTCTTTCATTTTCCCTCCATGCTTCTGTGTAGGAGAACAAAATCCAGATAGCAGAAATGCAAGGCAAAGGAAAGATGGAAGTTGAGCGGGAGGAGGGGAAACGTGGAGGTGGGGTGGGGGGTGTAAATGCCGGAGGTGGGGACCTGCAGCTCTGGACACCAGAGCTGCAGTGTGGCGTGCCGGTGCACATTTTAATACCCCAACATAAACCTGCACCAAACTTGATTGTGTTTCCTCGGCAACCTTGTACACTATCATCAGTTACTCTAACTCTATTTCTGTCACTCCTCTCATGGCTACTACATGTCTGACTGGAGGGTTTCTCGTCAATGCAGCAGCAAGATGAGTCAGACTGGGCTGACTCTCCTCTGCCACATCCTGCCTGCCGTCTCTCTCTCTCTCTCTCTCTCTCTCTCTCTCTCTCTCT